CTCTAAATACGGAGTAACATTTTTTTAAGTGCACAATTTTCTTTTGAAACTAGCAACATTTATCTAATCATATTAGGATAAAACATTTATCACTACGCTAAAATTATACTAATAGCATATGTGCAATTTATTTTTTTTTATACTTGTGTAATACTGTAACAGTTAGCGTCCCGTTTTAATGAAAGTATGTTGTACTCGGCTCTTTAGGCCTCCACGGCTCTACCCAACTTACCCATATTCCTTGCTATTCATTCTATATTTAGCAAAAGTACATAGGGGTGTTTAATTGGTTAACCGAACTGAATTAATCTAACTTTTTAAACCTTTAACCGTTAACCGAATCGAAGTTTGTGTTACCAAATTAATCGAACTGAATTTTTTTTCGGTGATTAATCGAACTTTTTAAAGCTAAAATTTAAAATCTTAAAAATCACTTAAAATAATAAATCCAATTAAAATAAAATACATTTCATAATAAATTCATCCTTGACTTCAAATCTTCAATAAAAAATCCAAAGTCTAAACATCCATAGTCCATTATATATTTATAATAGTAATTGTGTAATACTATTATAAATATATAATGGACTATGGATGTTTATATATATATATATATATATATATATATATATATATATATATATATATATATATATATATATAAACTTCGGTTAACCGTTCGGTTAATTCAGTTAATCGACTCTTTCGAACCGAATTAACCGTTAATCGAAGTTTTGAAATTCCTTTAACTATTAACCGAACCGAAAAAGTTCGGTTAAAAAGATTAATCGAATTTTGTCGGTTCGGTCGGTTAACTGAAAATTCTTCAAAGTTTGGACACCCCTAAAAGTACACTTTTAGTCATTCAATTGTTTTTAACTTATAATAAATAAGGGAAAATGGTCAAATAGACCCTCAAACTTTAACTGAAAAGTCAAATAGCCCCCTCAACTTTTTAAAGGTACAATTACACCCATCAACAATTCATTTTGATACAATGAAACCCAAAAATTAATAAATAACCTACTATCACAGGTCATTAGGAATCCAGCGATCCAGCCACCCTCCAGCGAAATTTCAAACAAAAAAAGTGATCGGCGACCGATTGTCGGTCACGGAGAAGGAGAAGGCAACCACAGTGTCCTTATCTTTTAATTGTTATAAATTTAGTCTTATTATTGAGCAAATTATAAATCTAGTTCATATCTTTCGATTGATGTATATCTTGTTCTTTAATTAGGGTTTTCCTAGTGCAATTAAATCTCATTACCTTTCAAAAAATCTTATATTTGATTTACGGGTTATTACAGAAAAATAGAGTTTATTTAATACACTTTAAGATAATAATTGCGAGTACCCCTCGCTCTCACCTCAAAAAGGAAATTCTATTTGCACCACCCTATTTGTTTTTTACACCACTCATTTAATAGGTGTAATAGGTTTATAGGTGGTGCAAATAGAAAAGTGTTATTTGCACCACCTCATTAAATGTAGTCAAACATTAATCTTTATTATTTATTTTTATTTAATAATCAATCTAATAATTAAAAAAAAAAAACCGAAGAAACTACTCGCCTTCTCCGCGGGGAAGGCAACCCATCGTGGTTGCCTTCTCACTGGAAAAGGCTACTTTGGTGGTGATCCACTGGACTACTTTCTCACCGGAGTTGGCGATGTTTCTTTTTTTTTTTTTTAATGTTTTTATTAATTAAATTTTTAATTAAAAAATTATTAATTACACCTTGTAAATGAGGTTTGACCAAGGTGGTGCAAATAGCAATTTGAACATCTATTTAGCTATTTACACCACCTATGTAATTATTGAAAATTTTTACATTTTTATAATTTCAAGATACTTTATATCCACTTTTGACCAAAGGGTGGTGCAAATAGCAACACCCAAATAAAAACAATTATTATAGGGAAAATAATACTTTTTTCTCCTGAATTATTCAAGTGGCTACCCACCCCCCCCCCCCACCCCCCTCCCCGAAATGTTAAATTTTACCTTTAAATAAATATTTTATTTATTTTTCTTCTCCAACAAATTATGACCACGATTCGGTTCGAACCGAACAGACATTATAGCAACTAAACTGAAATATTCCAATTACAATTTATAATCGAAACCTGATATTTAGAGTTTATTAAAATTACGAATCAGAACGGCCGGTTCATGTTCCGAATTGAAAAAAAAATACATTTATTGTTGAATTTAGACTATTTAAAAAATAAAAAATAAAATTTTAAAATAAAGACTGTTCAAAATCACGAATCGGATTCGGAACTGTCGGTTCACGGTTCAGGATCTAATTTTTTCGATTCATAATTTTAATAAATTGAAATTCAAATATTGGGTTCTGGATCTGAATCATAACCGGAAACTTTCAATTCGATTGCTATAGTGTCCGGTTCAGTTCGAATATAACTGTGATCATCCCTACGTATAAACAATAATTTGTTGGAGATGAAAAATAAAAAAAATGTTTACTTTAAGGAT